AATAGTTTTAATTTTCATTATGATTTCATTTAATTATTTGTTTTTCGTCATTATCATTAATCAGAAGATAAAGTTGATTACTTCATAATCATCCATTCTACCTTTTTTTTCTTTTTTTAAATTTCATATTACAATTCTAAAATGCTAACAGTAATATTATAATTATAATAAATGTAACGAACATAGAAACGGTTTAGTTGCTTAGCTATAAATTGATGAAAAAATGATTGAATTGATGAAGTTATCGTAATTTCAACAAATATTCATATAAATAATTGAACAGTAAAAGAATAAGTTTTTTTTCTTTTATTTTTATTTGCTTTTTTTGATCATTCTATTGAGATATAGTTTGTACAAAATAATTCTGAATAAGTTAGGATTCCGTGAAAATTGAATATTTTGTCAAGATCGAATTAATTAACCGAAATTTACTTTTTTTACCCGAAATTTACCGTTAACCTTTCCTTCTAAAAGCATATCAATAATAATAATAATGATAACGATAAATATCATTGTTGTTAGTTAATAACTAGTAAAATCGGGGGAAAAAGAACCAAAAAATTTTAATTTGATTCAATTAAATGGAATTATTCAAATATTTATAAGCGAAATGTTGCAGAAATATTTTTTAAAAAAGAAAAAATCGCAAAAAAAAAATTAATCTTGAAAAATAAATAACCAAACAATACTTTTAAATATAATTTAAGAAATTTTTAGCAACAATCGATGAATATAATTTGACCCAAAATAAAATATTCTAATAGTAACAATTAACAAATGATAAAATTTGTGATAAATTTGTGATAAAATATCGATAAGATTTGCGATGTTTGATAAAATTTGATAAAATATGTGATATTTGCTGTAATTTTAGCAATAACTGCAACATTTTGCTTGCATATTTTCAATATCATTATTTTACAAATTATACATACTATATATGCATGCATTCATGCATGTAAAATGATGTTGATTTTTGCAAGCAACGAAATTTAAATAACTAGACAAAAAAAAAAGTAATCGAGGATGCAAATTTATATTCTTTATCAAATTTTGATATATTTACAAAAAAAAAAAAAAAATAGAAAATGTTTAATGGAACTCTGTTTACTAGCAGGCATGATACTATGTAATAATCGATATAAATCTAACATTTATCATTGATAATGCTATTTTAGATTTGTAAGAAATAGGAATTGTGAATGTAATCGTCTAATAAGGATGGGAATAGAAATTGTGAAATAAAATGAAATGTGCGATTCTTAGTTAATTATAGGTCAACAGGTTAAAATAGTAACTTGGAAAAACTTTCAGATGATCTGAGCCATTAATAAGGATTAAATTTGTTTAATTTTATCCATCAATTAATGGCTATTTTATAATTATACCATTTAATATTATTGTTGGAATTTCAAATATTTATTTGTTTTATCTCCTCTTATACATCAATAGTTTTTTTTTTTGCCATTCTTTTTTTTTCCAAAATACTTCAAAACATGTCATTGATTAACATTTATATTTACAAATATTAGCCGTTTTTAAAATTTAATTAGTGTAATTTATTGTCTAATATATTACAAATTACAATAGCTATCCATTTATTACACTCGCATATCATTGGATAATTTTTTTTACGTCTTAATTTGCATTTTATATATTCAAATTAAGCTTTGATCTTTTCCTTTGTAATATAATAATATGCAAATAGCTGCTCGAATTATGATATTTCTTACTAGCTTGTAATTTCAACTTGTGAATTTAATGCTCAATTTAAAGGTAGAAAATCTCCTTTTTCATCGTTTTAATAGATTTCATTGTTTTTTAAGCTATGCAATATCTCATTCATCTCTTCTTTTCCTAAAATTATCCTGGATTTCATTACTCTAGAGGTCCCGATAATGATTATCAACAAAAATTTAGTAAGGAAGATGAATAAGAAACTTCAAACCTTTCGTTTTAAAAGTAGTAATAATTCAAATAACCTCAATTAAAATTATCAAATCTTGAAAAAAGTGTTAGGAATTCATTATGATATCTTTTACATTTTTGCATATTGTCTAATTAAAAAGAAGGGTAAACAGAAAATTATTTCAGCAAAAGTTTTATACGAAACCGTGACAAATGTTATCACACGAATTCAAAATAATAAGAATCTTGGAAAATTTGACTGAAAAACAAAAAATACAAAAAAGGTTCAAGTACAACCTTCCTCAAACTAGATTATTTCGTTGAAAGTGGACCTACTAAAGCAACATTCTTGTTTTTTTCAAACTTACACTATAACACTAAAACTCAGAATAGACATCCGGCCATCAAAAATTGGACTATTCTTCCACAACCAACGTACCCATAATACTCGTCTGATGAAAACCAATGTAGAACTGAATATTTATAGAAACTTGATATAATACTAAAAATGAAGAAAGTAATAAGAGGAACAATCGAAGAATAAACTTTTCCCGCATTAAACGCTTCTCCCGCGTTTTCCCATATTTTTCCCATTTTGTTTAGTTCAGAAAAAATAAAAAATTTCGAGCTTTAGCAAATGATTTGTTGAACATAGAATTTACAGTCTCAGCAATCAAACTATGCAGGAATTTTTTTTTCCAAAATAATCACAAACTTACTTGAAAATTTAAAACTATAAAAAGTTCGTTCAAAAGAATTATAAACGCCTTTAAATTACTTCTAGGGAGGGGAGAAAGCAGGGAGAATATTATTTATCAATCATAACTGTGATAATAATTAGTAATCAGCATAAAATTTTCGAATACTTCCAACAAAGTGTAATAGGTATAAGTAAAAAGTGGCCAGAAAAGATTCCTAATAAAATAATAAAGATCAGATCTCATAATGAAAAAAAAATGAATTCAAATTACAAGGTGGAGCATTCTAAAGAAAATGTTTCTTTTATGAAATCAGATAACCAACATCAAATTCATCGAAATTTTTCACTAATTGCCTGCATAAATTATTGCTATTGATGTAAAAAGAAAAAAGAACGCATTTGTCAGCAACGTAATCCTTGCGCAATCATCATGAATATCGCAAATGAACCACCCATTTTTGTAGAATATCGTCCAACCTGTGCCATCATTGCACGTCCTCGGAAACCCATGCTGAAAAACGGGAAACGACTAATAAAATTACTTCAACAATACAATAACTGAATACACCACTGGAAGCCATAACTGCTGCTACAACTCTCGAAATAATTATAATATTATATCCAAAATTTAGATCCAAATGTATCCAAGATGATCGTCAGTTTGTTGGAATGGATGACGAAAACGTATGTTTAAATGTATCAATATTTTAGATGACTTGATTTTCCTTATAGCTCAGAGTTAATTTAAATTTGTTAATTTTATATTTTCAAATTAACATAAATCACTATCACCATAAACCAACATATTTTATGAATCGCAATGTCGTAAAAACTTCCAATTTTTTAAAATAAATGTCAATATCCTTTCCGATAACTAAATTTCAATGCTTTTAATTTTGTCTTTCTGTGTCACTCACCGAATCAGCATCGGTAAGCTTAAGTACATAATCAAATTATGATCAAGTTGGTATCAAAAAAGCCAGTAGAAGTAGTACATAATTTTCAGCTTATTAAGTATTATGAAATGAAATAAGTACGGTAATAGATGATGAATCAAAATATAAATTCAAAAATGCTAACCTAAACGCACTAGCAGTTCCGATAATAGCACCTGATGCACAGCCAATAAATACTCCCATAAGTAAGCCCATTTTCATTTTTTGCCAACATGATACTTGTGGATGTCCAGCAACGCCTTGATAATGTGGTACTGGCATTGTTTCTTGTCAATTTTTGAAATTTCTCCTTTAATCGAACACCCAATAATGCACCACTAATTTACCTTTAATTTTTGAGAATATAGCAAAATTGAAAAATACAAATCAAAATATCGTAAATTTTCATTAACGCATTAATTTATCATTATAAGTTAAACATTTAAAAATAAGAGGAAAAATAAAATTCATGAAATGAAAACATTGATAAGCAGTGAACGAATTTCGAAATAGCATAAATAAAAGAAAAACATAAATTCTACCATAATATAATGCTAATATCAGCATATACTGATAACTTCAACTTTAAATCAGCATATACTGATAGCATATAATTCAATATAAATTTACAGCCATTCTTATGGTTGATATATCAAACTTTAATAATATTGGACTATTCAGATGAATTTAATCAAATTTTAAATTAAACTTTCACGAACATTTACTAACATCGATCTACATGGGATTTTTATATCTGTTCAACAATATAACATATATAATATCAACTTCAACATTACTAACTACTATAAAAGCAAAGTTTACAAAGGAAATCAAAACGATCACTAACATCATTACTAATAATTATTAAAAATTACCTAAATAAATCATTTAATTGATTATTTCTGAAATTAATACTGATTTAATACAATGTATAAAAGCTTCCAATACAAATCCCACCATTTATATTTTGCTGTGGTATTTTAGTAAGTACGAGTGAATCTATTTAATGATTATATGAAGATATAATATTTACCGTAACTTTCACTTCTTGGATAAACGTTCAATCACACCGGCTATCAGTGAAATACTGATTATTGGTTTACGTAAAACTACGTTGAGAATAAGTAAATTATGGTCGTCTGTTGCGACAACTACTTTTAATTGTTAAAAGATTGCCAAGTTGATTTGAAATCATTTACTTGTTTTTCAACTTAACCAGAAACATAAATGAAAACTGACAAAATTCCAAAAAAATTCATACATCTATTTCAAAATATCCGAAGTTTTTAAGTTGACAGTGAAAGAATGCATTTGTATTTCAATGAATATACTTGACAAAAAGAGAAATTTCTAGCAACTGAATATTAATTTTAATACATAGCTAATTTTCTGGTCAACCGGAACTTCATTTACACATTTTAAAAGCCTGCTTATACTATTCGCGCTTTCTTCTCCATTTTGATCCATTAAGATGGTAAATCCCAAAAATATGAATAAATAAATAAATAAAATTCAATAGGGAATTTTTGTAACATAACTATGGAACAACGAAAATAAAAGAATTTTTAGAGAACAGAGCAATATAGGATCTTGAATTTAAGCAAATTACTACAGCATACAGCATTTGAAACTAGCGGCAGGATCACCAAATGAATCATACTTAATAAATTGTGAGTCACAAAAGATATGTTTAATTTCATTCGTGACACATAATATTAAAATTAAAATTGTTGTATTCCGCAGCCCCAGAAAAAAAAGCAGGAAAAACCTAAAAGAAGTAAGAAGAGAGAAGAGGGAAAAAGAGAAGTAAAAGAAGAGAGAAGTGGAGTAATCAATTGCAAAGAAAAACAAATTTTACAACTGCAATGTGAAGTTAAAACCCGTATAAAAAAAGCTTTAGATTCACAAAAGCTAAGAAGACTATAATACGGGATAAATAAGGAGATCGCTTATCATGCAATTCGATAAATAAGATGTAAGCCCGAATCAGTGTCAACTACATCGCTCAACTGTCCGACCTGAAAAGAAAATTACGATGACTTTTCAATTCCATAAAGCATTTACGATTGTTTCAAAACCTGCAATAAAAACTTAATCACATAATTTAGTACAAAAATTTTCCTAAGCAGCATCTACTAAAACTTCCTCCTCTATCAGATGATAAAATTGTACTTTTCTTGGAAGAAACCAGACAAGCAAAGTTATTTCATATCTCTGTTCTAAAATATGATAAAATTGTGATAAAAATCTGTTTACGAGATGTAAGCTGCAACATCATGCTAACATTTCTGAAGAGACAAAATCACTATATGTTTAATAGTGATGACTATTTTGAAATTTGTCTTAAATGAAATGAAAGTTACTCCAAGAGCAAAAGCGGCGTCTTCAAATGATTTTTGCATCTGTCGTCGTTTGAAAAACCCCAAATCACCACCTCGCTTCGCTGAGGAACAATCGCTAAATTCCTTCGCCAATTCTCTCAATTTTGACTTTTTATCAGACGCCTCCTCAATTTGCTTTCTATAGCCTGAAAAAAAAAACACCACTTAGTTTGCTAGGAAAAGATTTTCGCTGAAGAGGAGTATATTATAATAGAAAAAATGAGACATTAGAATATTAAGAAATAGAACGTATAATAAATGAAAATTAATCCAATGCTTCCTTGTAATATGTTGGAATTACCAATGGACATTCAGAACGACCAAAAACGCAATCCGATCCGAAAGACTAAATTTAGATGAATACACCTTTATCGTACACATATTTCTTCTCATTTCCAGAAGGAAAAAAAACACTAAAAACTAAGTCGAACCAATTAAAATCTTCCTTGCATCTTCCTTTGATCGTGTAATAACATCTGAGCGCCAAGACGAAGGACGCCTCGAACCATTATGTTTTACTAATAAATGTGCGCAATGTACCTATAAATGATACATATCAATAACTTATCAAATATTATGCTTAAAATAAATAAAAATGTAACTCTGATGAATATTATGCTATCGACAAACAAACTATAAATTCAAAGCATTTATTTAAATCCATGACTTTGTTCCACATTCTTATAAATCTCCCATACGATGACATATTAAATAGTCACAGGAAAAAAAAATTTCTGAAACATACTTCATTCAAGCTTGCTTGCGCCGGATCAGCTGGTTTTGTAGGTCGCTCCCATTGACTGCGACCAGTGTATACATTGAAATAGTAAAACCTGTCTGAAAAGATTGCATGAACCCATCATAAAAAAGAAAAAAGACTCAAAAGCAGAAGATCGAACCATTTCTCCCGAGTTCCGAATGATTAATAAATTAAACAGAAATGAAAAAATCTTCAAAAAAAATGCTAAACAAACTATTTGAGCGACTCATTCGTTTCTCCCATCCTTTTGGTAATTCCTTTATCGCTTCCTTCTCTTCCTCCTCAATTTGATCCACATCATCCGATCTACTACGTTTTTTTTCTGGCTCATTAGACGAAGACATCGAAAATTTCACGTTAACCCGCAATAAATACGTGAATTTTATGTAAAATGCGAAGTATCCAGAAAAAACTAAAATAAAGGTTATGATGAAGTGCAACAAGCCTGAAAAAATGCTTGACACCAACTCTTCTTAATATGCACAAACCGGTTCCATACAATATAACTTTAACAAATAAGTTTTAGGAACGGTATAGACTAAGAAGCACCATTCTACTGAAAAAAAAAAGAAAAAATTGAAATATCGACAAAGTTTTTCTAGAAGATATTTATTGATACACTCTACTGAACAAATATCGACGGAGTTTTCCTAGAAGATATTTATTGATACAATTTCAAATTACTACTCTTTATAAAGCATACAAACCAAATATAATAAAAGGAAATTGTATTGATCATAGAGTGGTCCAGTCAATCGACATCACCCGTAAAAAATTAGGGGTTATGCAGAACATGATATAACGTGAATATCTTTCGCAGAAGTTTTATGAAATAAATGTCTAATTATTAAGTTTATTTGGCTATTTGTAACTATCGATTACAAAAAGAAAAAAAGAAAAATTAACAATATGAAGATAAATACAAGCAAAAAGATAGAATGACAATTACATTGCCGCACAACACAATATCGTTTCAATCAACCATACTCTTCGTTTAATTTCTCCATCTTTACCAGTCGTCTCATATCAAATTTCCGCAAATTTAATGACAAATATGCGCCTTCCAGTAATTTTTCAGCATAACTTCGTCCAACAGCTAAGGCATGCTGCATTCCGCGATTTCCAAATCCGCATAGGAAATGCAGATTTTGATAAAGTAAATGCTCTCCAATAACTGGTGAGTTGTCGAATGTATTCACATCTTCATAACCTGCCCAAGCGTTTTTAATCTGAAGATTTCGCTACAGAAAATACGAAATAAACAAATCAAATTTACCTAGCACGTCAAATATACGTCAAATATACAAATATCAAATATACGTCAAATATACTTTCTGCTATTTTCAGTGTAAAATATGTGCTTTATTTCAGCTTGATTATTTTAACTTAACTCATAAAGACCTCATCTCTTTAATCTATTGAGAAATTGTTCTATATCCAATAAAGAAAATATAATGAAATCTTGATATGCATTACTTTTCATTAAATGATAACCAATAATGAAGGAAATACATAATTTATAAAGGAGGAAAATGTTTATCAGCACTCCGAATTTTATCCCAGTCTTACATTGATGCTTTGTCGCTGGTCCACTATGAAATCAGTCTAAGAGTTCACCAATATGAAACCTGTCGACATCGCCACAAAACTTACTTTTAAATTTCTAAATGCTGGAACCCGTTTAACTAAAACTGGCCAAATATCATTATAAAAGTAGTTGTAATCCACTTCCAGATTCGAGTGATCAATTTTTTCATCTTCTTCCTATAAAATTGCAATCGTAAATGCAAGAAAGGGAAAGAATGAAAAACAGCACATAGTTTCTGCAATTCGTTTAAATTCCTCACCTTATTCGGGATTTTTCCACAGATGAATGTATGACCAACTTCTTCTAACAAACAATAAACACCACTGGGATCGACAAGAGCTGGCATATCCAAAGCGGGAACATCAGGTACATGTACAACAAACATCATACGCTTCCGTGCAACAACTGGTATCTTGACAGCCAACAAATCTTGCCCCTTCCCTAAAAGTTAGAGATTTTTGCTCTAAGTTACAGCTTCAAATCCTTTTGGACTTCGAAACTTCCCGATAAAAAATATCACAATCCTTCTGGACTTCGAAACTCCCCGATAAAAAATATCACATTTGTAAGTAAAACAAATGCTTTACCAATTCTTGCCATTTCGGCAATGCGACCAGACCAAGCACCAGCAGCAACAACAATATGATTAGATCGTATGATTCTTGCAGAAGCATCTGTCATTTGCGGGCGAACCTAAAACACATCTGCTGATTTTACTGCAGCATTACTGCCGCAAGAATGCATGTAAAGAATATAATGAAAACCAGGAGAAAAAAATTAAAATGCTTACATAAGCTCCGTAAATGTGCTTATAACGCCAAACTGCTTCATCGGCCTCATCTGCCATACCATGTATTTCTGTAGTACCATATTTTTGGCCAAAATAAAAACCTGAAAATGTACATATACATATAAAAAAAATCATCCAAACTACGATATTGAAATTGAACCATATTTTATTCTCTCTTTTCTTGAATTATTGTTCCTATTTTGTACTCGACATCCCACAAAGCCATATTTAGCAACAAAAGTCCAGTGAAATTTATTTATGTCTTCCATGACAAGGAACAAAATACAAGACAGCGCTACTTACTTGACTTTTCACATATTGTGCTAACTTAAAAAAAGCAAAAAGGTAGTGCAATAAAGGAATTACTACGAAAACTTAAGCAGTGTCTGTGACAATCACTAAAGAAAGACAAAACCTCTAAAAAAAGTTCAAAGTTTTCTAGGATGGACAGGAAGATGTTTGGTTATTCAGTACAGCGTGCGTCTGAATCACTAAACAGACGACAGTGCCTTATTTTAATGCGCTTAAAAATGGATAACAATAGCAGTCTGTCTCTTTTAGAGATAATTCAGAACGATGGCTATTTCTGTTTGTAATATTTTGTAGAATTAACTGGTATTCAAGATATTGAAGGTTAAAATATTCCAATGGTATTTCTTCCTAAACAGATTATACATATCGCAAACATATACAAATACACAAAGTTCTAAGAATGCTTATCGCACACCTTCTACTTCGCCTTTAAGATACTGCACACCCAAAGTTAGGTTCTTTTCCCGTAGAGCTGATAACAACTGCCATGAGTCGACTGTACCTTCATTTTCCAAACCTATAAAATCTCATACATTATTTACACCTTACCCATCTTGCTCAGTATCATAACGAACTAATAAAACAAATGTACCATATGAACCGAGCAATACATCATCAAAATTGATGAAGGGAAACTTCGCACATAACTGACTACGGTTTAACAAATCAATTCGGGCACCATTTCTTCTGAAAAATTTACCGATACATTTGAAAAGTAATTTCACCAATATTTCTCGGAATTAATTTACTAATATTTTGTTTCGCATATAGTGAATCTCTTTCAAAATATGCAAATGAATTAGAAAGGCATAATGTTGCTAAATAGTTATCTTCTGCTATGCTGGTTTATTAATTTATCCACATTGTTTTTTAATCACCTCATATTTGGTACCAAAAAATTAGGGAGCAAACTTAGTGTTAGTTTAATTGGAATTTAAAGGCAAAACTAAAACAGACAGAATGACAGGAGGAAGACTGCATAACAGAATGAATACGAGGTAGATCTGTATTAGTGCTACCAAATAAATTTCTGACTTCAACGGACCAGCCGTCGATAGAATATTTCCAATAATTTAAACCAAATTACACCATTATACAAACGTTTGCACTTTCCAATTCCGCTTCAGTCGATCCACTTCTTCGGGTGTGCGAGCCAAATACATGAAACCCATTGGCAAAAAATGCACATCAGGAGGGTCGTTGTCTAAAACATTCATTATAAACTAAAAATACTACTTGATTTCGATAGTACCAATAGTTAAAAAAGACAAATAACTCGAGGATTCAACTGTATCTGTGGAAGAATTATCAAAGGAATTATCCCGCTTCTCACAAGACTGATAGGGATTTTTGAATGGAAATCTACCTAAAATGCGCAAATGCTGGCCAGCATGGCGAAGATATTCGGCTGCGAAAGCTGACATCATAACATGTTCTGGGACTGAAAACTGCTGTGAAATACCACCACATGTTAACATCGAAGCACACTGCGCAAACTGCAAGTTGAACAATATATTAAAAAACAAAAAATCAGGTGAAGAACTGAATTTTCAACTGCCAAGTTCCCTAATTTTTAAAGAAATTAACTCTAACACGGTTTCTTCTGAAGTTATATTTTGAAAGCAGTGTTCGAAAACTCTAAAAGTTATGCCGCATTAAAGTTTTGAAATGAAGATTACACTTAGAAAAGTGAAGAACTGGTGTTCAGTTTCCACTACATAAAAATGGTTCCAAACTGTTGAAAATTGTGCAAAATACTATAAAATATTCGCTCTTAGCCTAGACTCGAAAAAATAAGCGAACCAATCAGATAAGAAAACAAAATTTTAAAGATTATTGCCTTGTCGTTATTCTCCACAACTACCACCTTGTAGTCTTCATCACGAAATGCTTGTTTTAACCAGTATGCAACGGACGATCCTATCAAGCCGCCTCCTATGATTAATACCTAAAGAAACTTCAAAAGACTTATATAGCTATATAAGTCCTCTGTGTTCATTGTGGTTATCGAATACAACAATTCAAATGTCCTCAGAACTTCATCACAGTACAAGCTCAGATATGAATGAGAACCAACAAACTTCATTAACTGCATTCGGACGAATAATACCGAAACAAATTTCTTCAGAAATGATCCAATTTCCGAGGGTTGATGAAAATCGAAAGAAACATTTTAGGCAACAATTAAAAAGCAAAGCAGACGCTGCGAAGTCAGTGACAATGACAGCCATGATTAGCAACTAATGAATTACTTGAGTTTCGAACGGAAACAACTCAAAATCCATCGCGTGTCGCTTAATGTGTGCAACGGGATTATTCCTCTGATACGGATCCATTGTGGCCTAAAATTTATGCAGTATAATTTGCAGAATTGGACATTAATTGGTAACAGCTTGTAAGCAAAATTTCGATTGTTAAAGTTGTTGCAGTTCATTTTGTTAAAAAATATATTAACGAAAATTGAAATAAAAAGGACTGCAAAAAGATAAGTTATGCTGTCATAAGATAGTTGGAAAAAGAAAAACATTATCATACGCAAAGAAATGTGCGTTAGCAGTTTTACTGACACAAACCAAAAAACAGCTTAAAATAAGTGATCGAATAAAGAAAGCGGGAAAAAAACAATGCTGCAAGTAAAATAATAAGCATTACCTCTTTCCAGCGCCTTTTCCATCGTTTCACATCATATTTCAAAGCATACCACATCCGTTTCAAAACATCTTCTCCGGGCTCGAAATGTCTTTCGTTCTCGAAGTCTAAATATGTTCAAATGTTTCTGTGGCCTTAAAAAAACAAAGAAAACGAAACGAAACAAGAAAAAAAAAACATTTTAGCTAATCTCGGTCCATTGCTTTCATTCTGCTCCCATAATTCGAAAAATCATCGGTAGCTATTCGTGATGTCAAGAAATTGTGACAGTTTATTTTAATATGCAAAGTAACACATCCCCGGATAGTAATGGCATATGAAATTGAAATAGACTAGTAAGCTAAAAGTCAGGAACAGAACATTCAGTTTATTTAGATCATTATCGAAAATTATATCCGAAATCCATGACAAAAGATCAAACCTTAGACTTACTCACTTTGCCATCTGCTTAAGGATGTTGTATGAAAGCATGCCGCATTTATCCTAAATAACGGCAATTGATGAAAACTCGCCAGAATATTTTTCGTCATCCACATTTCTGTAAAAAGAAAAATACATAGTGATAACAAACTTCATATCATTTTACGATAGCATACTATATTATGATCTGAAAGTATAATAACTTAGTATAAGTTCATACCATGATAACAGCGATTGGATACGAATGTAGAAAACAGTGCAAGAGAGAAAAAATTTTTTCCGATTAAATTATTATAACCTAAACTGAATAACTTTAACTAAAAAAAAACTAAATAAATGGTAGATAGCTTTGAGTTTTTCCAATTGCTTAGTTGAAATTTATAAGGCTATTCTACCTGTCATAAAATTCCCTTCCCATTTTGGCTAATATCAGCACTTAATCAATTCCTTTATGTCTTCGGAAGATATAAAGGAATTGATTAACTGCTTTGCTGTTGTGAATAATTTCTTATTTCTTTCAATTGAATTTTCTCAGCATAAATATATTATTCATCCTGAAAGTAACAATTTTTTTTTTTCATTTCTTTGTTGTATATTGGTAAGAATGAATGGTACTACAACCAAAGTATCAATAGGATAGAAGCCCTGTAATACTAATAATTACAATTATTATATTTACCAATAAAAAAAAAAAAAAGAAGAATCAAATTATTATCGAATATTTAGAATGATGAAAGATTTTATAATATTTCTTCATATATTCATCTAAAATTGTCTAAAAATTACTCTTAGAAAAAAAAGGAATGAATCAATTTCAAGTTTTCTATTTGCCAAAAATCTGCAATTTATCTCCACTTTCACCTCTTTACCAAACTTTCCATTACTCTCAATCACTACTACAGTTAACTATAGTTGATATTTCATCATTTTCTCAATCTCTGCCAACATTATCTCTTACTTTTTTGCCATCATTCTTTACTATCTCATCAATTTAAATCATTTTTTTTACATTCTCTAATTGCATACTATCTCATAAATCCTAGCAATCCCTGTATTCTTCCAAAATACAATATCTTGTCTCATTATTCAAACATTACCCATTTAGTCATAACCTCTCCCCAAAAACCACTATATTTTCCATCCTTGTGTTGTTCCACTTTAAAAAAAAAAAACTGGTGTTGCATTTCTGTCGTATGCTACGAATTATGAAATATAATGATGAGGAATTATTTCAGGCTAGTAGTTGTATGATGAATAGTTGTGATAATTGTAGTTGCTAGTCTTTTAAGAAAAACCATGAGTTGATAATGCATGCAAAGTTTCATTCTTTTTCTCAAATTTAAAAAGTTTAAACATTTTTAAAATGACTTCTTTTTAAATTCAATTTAATCCATTCAAAGATGAATTTAATTACTCAACAATTAAAAACTACAGAAATCAAAAATTACGAAAAACTACGGAAGAATTATCGTAATTAAATTCACTTTTTTTTTCCAAATGATCATTTTGTTATCAGCGTCTTTAGTGCAACATTGAGCAATTAATAATTATTGATTGAGCTATTACTGAACGGTATTGCGTGACACTATTGATTGAATTTGAAAGTTGTTTAAAAGGGAATTTCAAAAGGAAAGAATATATAGTGAGAAGTAGTTAAAACATTTAAAATTAGGGAGTGAATATTTTGACATTTTTTTCTCTTTTTTTTTAAATTAGTATTCTCGACATCACCGATAATAAGCGTATTTGTATCCAGATGTGACAAAAACAAAAAAAAAAAAAAAGAAAAAAAACGACGTATAATAGAACAAATTTTCGTTGATCTTTGAATAAGTACAAAATATAGTAAGACTTATTTTGCATTTTCAAAGAAAAAATCATATTGCTTATATCATTATACTGTAACTTGATGACATTTTCAAAAGAAAAATAATTTTATTGCATTAAATTATTAGAATTATGGTACTATCTTTTCCTTTTTTTTTCTTTTGTTTAGAATATTTGAAAAAAAAAAGAAAGTATCAATGTTGCAAAATAATTTCGTAAATCAACAATTTAAATTTAATAATTATTTACAATATAATGGAATACGCGCATAAAAATTTATACAGTAGAATTAGGAATATTTGGTGATCACTTCGGAACCACTACCTCGTACCAAAAGAACCCGTCGTAAGTTATGTGTTAGCACATTTAAATATTCCATATAATTGGGAAGAGCAGATTCTTTTTTTGGTGGTTCTGGAAGATTTAATACTATCAATGCACTTGCGCTAGACTTCTCGAATATTTTTCCATTTAAACATACAGCCGAATGAACTTCACGTATTACACGCTAAAAAAAAAAATGAACTTCACGTATTGTACGCTAAAAAAAAAAAGCCATGAATAATGTAATAAATTTTTTAAAGCTTTAATTATCAGCGGATATTTTGTATCATCAAGTTGATTAAATATTCATAATGTGTTGGAAAATTTCAAAAAAAAAAAAAAGAAAAACGCGAAACCTCTTCTGATGAATGTCCCTCTAATTGATTGAATGAATTAGTTGATGCTTCTCGATTGATAGCATTGCTTATTTCTGATTCAAATGAACTGAATGTAAACTTTCGTTCACATTTAAATTTTCGTCCACATTTGTCATTTTCTATATCATTATTTGAATGTACACTAAAAAAAACGATAAGATAATAACATGTATTTGAAGTTGTAAAAATTGAAATTTGAAAAAATTAGAAATTGAAGTTATGAAATTAATAATGAATTTAATATCAAACGAGACGAATTGTTATCATAGTGATTGCTATGTTAAAAAAAAAAGTTTGAAATTTATTTGTTTTCTTTTTTATGAAAGAAATGAAAAAAAAGAAAACTAACAAGCAAGATTTCTCATAAAAGAATTAAGTAAAAAAAAAAAGAAAAAAAACAAGAAGCAAACATTCGAAATGGAACAAGTTGTGAAAGATGCGCCGGATTTGAATTCTTTTCGGAAATTTCCAACATATATTCATTTTTTCCGGTTTGTGATTCTTCTTGAATTGTTTGAGCAGGAATTTGCGATTCATTTTCTGTAAAATTAAATAAAAAAACAAAGGAAAGTTTTGAAGTTTTGATAGTTAAATGAAAAATGAGAAAAAATAAAGTTTGATTTTTTTTTAATGATAAAATATATGAAAGTATTAAATAATGATAAAAGGAATGAATTTAAATTTAGCTCACCATTTTTATCATTTTCACGTTGTTTTCGATTTTGATTAAGGATAACTTGAGCCTAAGAAATACAATTGATTTAATTTCTGATTTAATAATTTTTGATTTATTAATTCTTACAGTATTTTATTTTTTTAATGTTCACAACGGCATATTTTTGAAATTTATTATTTAAGTATATTGATTTATTTTATTTTATTTCTTTTTTAGAATATAATGATTTATTTTTAATGATTATAAAGTAAAAAAAAAAAATAATAATAATAATACACGATATAAATGTCATTTATAAATTGCATTCATGAAGGATAGAATAATAATGCTAGCTGGATAATTAAGTTTCAACTAGCTGGATAATTAAGTTTTCATTATGCAATTCGAATATTTGGAATTTATCAAAATATCAATTTTGATAAAATTTTTTTGACAAGATTCTTTCAACAATTTCAATTGATCCAATTAATTAATCTACCATTTACATTCTTTAATGCTTTAATTATTCAATTTTGTGGCGTTTTTTTCTCGACTAATTTGAAATTTTCGATGTAATAATATTCGTTGTATATGTTTTATTCCGGCATATACTTTATATGTTATCATTTAGCTGTTATCAATAATATGAAAAAAATAAATAAAATAAAATAAAATATTCAAATAAGATTAAATGAAATGATTGAAAATTCTTTTTTTTTTTTTTTAGTAAATTTCCAGGAATAGTATAATACCATTAAGCTAACGTTTCTTTCGGGAATAAAATTGATGTATCTATTTTGAAGTGATCGTTGTTATTTCGTATGCTGATATATCCGGTGTTGCAAATTC